GAATTGAAGACGTAATAATTTTTTTAACAGGCAATTTTTTTAACAGGAATTTTTTTAGTCAAAAAATATTGCAGTAACATTTCTATGTTTCTAATAAGCTGGTCTGGTGGTTTCTAATGAGTAAACTTGTGACTCTCAGATTACGTAGCTGTTGCATTTCAAACGCGTAACAAATGTTGCTTATAACTCTCAGGTTACGTAATAGGGATGCTATCTCCTTAAGAACCACTAGTCTGTTCAGACTGAATTCCTTTATTAAACACTGTACATATTGTATAATGTAACGAATCGCTGTTTTCATGATCATAAAATTCATGCGGCGATCGATGGAATCGAATGGTTCTTCCACAAATCTAAGGTCAGCTAAGCGAAGTAAATTGCGATCGGTAGACTCGAAAGTAAATCCACTCGTGGGACAAAGAAGAGGCGTCCGTTCGAAGATGCGGACTTCGCTTCAAGTTGATATCTCCATCGGTCCGCGAGATATATGACTCGAAAGTGTACCGTTTAAAATGTAAGGGATGCTGAATGGCGACTGAAATTCTTGGAAAACGCCGTGACCCAGTTTCCCTCTCTGCCCCTCGTGCCCGCTCTCCTTCGTAGGGCTACATGTGTCGAACGCGAGTAGCTGGTACAGCGAGGAGGAGCGGCAACGATAAAAAGGAAAACTGACTCAGCATCGGTGCTGACCGCCGCGCAGGTGTCAAGCTTGGGATAGGTCGGCGAAGACTCACGAGCGGGTGGGATTCGATTGCGACCGAGGGGGAGACTGACGGATAATGGAACGTTTGAAATTACTACACTTCGCTTCGGTATAAACGGCGATATCTCAACGGAAGAAGCGAGCATTAACGTGGAACAAAAACTTCCTTAAAGAGGAGAGTTTCTTTCGTAGCAAGTTAGAGGCCGAGACCGAGCTGCGCAATTATTTATCAAGATAAACAATACCCTTTGTGGTAAACGAAATACGTAGTAAAGCTTGCCACTTGTTTTGTTCTCATTCTCAGCTATAGTTCACTGGTAATGATCTAATTAATAATTAATAAAATATTTCATTTAGTGATTATGCGATCATCGA